TAACAAAGAACAGGTACAGACGTTTCCTGCTTAATTGGAATACTTAATACCCAATTCCAGGAACTTGGCATATTCTGCTCTGCTTGGCACCTAGCATAGCCTCCGAGGGTAAATCTGGAATGAAGGGACGTTCTTCCCTGTCACCACCATCGAAACTCCCCTGAGGGACCCTGGAGTTGCTCCAGGAGGCCTCCTGCCAACTGCTAAATCCCCAAAGTCCTGTCCTCACCTTTCCCCAGAGCAGCTCATAATCCAAGAGCCACAACACTTCCGTGGCGAGGCAGAGCACACCTTGTGTGTAGCCAAGCCACACACGAGGGCACAATAGAAAAATAATAATAAGTTGGAGCTCAGTGAGGGCGAGGTGGTGGCTGTGTATTTACTCAAGGTGGGTCTGGGGAAAGTTTCACGGAGTGGTCAGGCTTTCGAGACCTGTTTGAAACGTGGCAGGAAAAGGCGAGGCCGACACTGAAGGGAGGAACGGGCACGTGTCCCAGGCATCCTCTGAAAGTCCTGGTTTCTCCCTGAGAACACCGTGTGCAGCGGCCGGGGGAAACCGGCCAGGACCGGTGACCAGGCGCTTGCATCCCCCCGGGCCAGCTCCCAGGCCTCAGGAAGCTGTGTCACAACATCTTCCTCTGACACAACATTCGTTCAACACCCACCACTAGGTAGGCACTGGGTATGCCCTGGGCAAGCACAGGGGAGACAAACAAGGAGGTCCCTGCCCCCAGCTGGCGCTTGGCTCTCCGGGAAGAGGAGTCAGACAGTGTGTGGCGGCAGAGACAGCGTGGCCGTCCCGTGCGGTGGCACAGGGTAACAACTGCAGTGAGAGACGAGAGAGGATTCTGCTGCAGCGGGCCGGAGGGGCACTGCTGTGGCCTGAATGTGTCTGTCCCCCAAATTCATATGTGGAAACCTAACCCCCAAAAGGATGATATGGGGGGGTGGCCTTGGGGAGGTGATTAGGTCACGAGGCTGGAGCCCCGGTGATGAGATTCATGCCCATGTAATAAGAGGCCCCAGAGAGCTCTCTCGTCCCTTCTGCCACATGAGGACACAGCTGGAAGGCACCATCCATGAACCAGAAAGAGGACCTCACCAGGCATTGAAAATGCTGGCACCTTGATCTTGGACTTCCCAGCCTCCAGGACGGTAAGAAATCAGTTTCTGTTGTTTCTGAGCCACCCACCGTGGCTATTTTGGCACAGCAGCCACGCTGACGAAGGCAGGCCGTCTCCATCTCGCAGGAGGTGGAGGAAGGAGAGGGACGGGAGGGTGGAGGGAGGGACGCTGGCGTGCAGATCCAAACCAAAAGCAAGACTGAGCTGGGAGTGGGCACTGTGGGAGACAACGTCTAGGGGTTTAGAATTTATTCTAAAATCCATGAAAAATCACAGAAAAGTTTTGTTTCAATCTATGTGACGTTACTATCACCTACAAGCTAACAACTCCCAACTTGACTTCTCCTTCCCAGACCTCTGTCCTGAACACCACCTGCCTCCTGCCCAGCAGACACCAGGAGATCTAGACGCCTGCCCTGCGTATAAATCTGGTCTTCCTGTGATAGCCCCTGTAATAGTGCAATATCGTAAGAAATACATGTTTCTTCTTCAACCCTGGTTCCTAGCACAAGAACTCTTCACATTTCTCGAGTAACAGAGGTGAGAGAAATATCTTTGTCATCCGTAATGAGCCCCTCTCCACCACGCCTGAGTTTAAGGCAGGCCCCTAGGTAGCCACGGCATGGGGCTGGTTGCCAGAGGAACCGACCACTGATGACAGGGTTGGAACTTTCAGCCCCACCCTCCACCCTCCAAGGAGGTTGAAGACGGGAGATTGAGCTAAACACCAATGGCCAGTGATGTCATCATCACACCTAAGTGATGTAACCTCCACAAAACCCCTAAATGCAGGGTTGGTGAACACACGGATGTGCCAGAGGGTGGCGTGTCCAGAGGGGGCATGGACGCTCCACCCCCACCCCAATACCTGTCCTCTGCAACCCTTTTGTCTGGCTGTTCCTGAGTTACAGCAGCCTTTATAATAAACAGTAAATGTAAGTAAAACGTTTTCCTGAGTTCTCCGAGCTGTTATAGCAAATTATCAAACGTGAGGAGGGCGCTGTGGTTCCCCACCGATTTATAGCCTCTTGGGAGTATGTGGGTCCAGGACTGGTGACTGGCCTCAGCAGGGGGTGGTCTTGTGGGACTGAGCCCTATACCTGGGGGAGCTGACGCTTACTCCCAATGGGTGGTGTCAAAATGGAATTGACGTGTAGGGCACCCAGCTGGTGTCCAGAGTATTGGCGAATTGGTGATTTGAGAAACAAACCCACACGTTTGGTGTCACAGGTGTTGTGAGTAGAAATAGTTCCAAGTCCCTATTTCAATGAATGGTTCGTCTCCACCTTGGTGCCTCCACCAGACACCTGTGAACCATCCCCCAGCCCCCACAGTGAGTGCCTGCCCCGTCTGTGACGACACCTCCATCTTCATCTCCATCTTCACTCTCACCAACCTGGTCCAAGCCTGGGCTCACCGGGCCACTTCAGCAGTCCTCCTGAAGGCTCGTAAGCAGTATTGAAAACTTGCATTTTAGAAAGGTGGGTTTCTGGATAAACGTGGAGAATGGACTGGCGGCCAGTGAGAATGGGGACGAGAGGCCATTGCAGTGACCCTTTCCTTCCCTGGATCATGAATGCCACAGCACACGGTGGCTCCTGCTGCAGCAGAAGCTGGAGACTGGGCTGCAGGCAGAGAGAGCAGAGGGTCACCCACAGAGAGGAGATGACGGGGCGGGAGAGGGAGTGCATAGGGAGAAGGGGCTGAGATGCACAGAGGAGAGGAGTTGAGGAAGGAGTGTGAGCAATAGGACAGCCACAGTGGGAGGAGGAAGTCCGGGCTCTGTGGGCCCAGGAAGTAGTGGTCACAGAGTCCGACGGCCTTAGATCCGAGAGGGTGAGCAACAGGAGGTGAGAGAGGTTTCCTCGGCGTGCAGGGCAAAAGCCAGGCAGTGGTGGCTGGAGAACTGATGGGAACTGTAAAATGGGCAGTGAGGACAAACACAGGTGGGAAAGCCCACTGTTCACTTTGCAGGAATTTCTGAGCCCGGTGTCAAACATTGCCAGTATTAAAAATGAAATGATGGGAACTTGCGGTTAAATAGATTATATTAAAAAGCAAAGCAATAAATACTGAAAACTCATCCCTTCTTATTTTACTACATTTTATAAAAAATTATTGAGTGTATTTCTACCCACTGTGTATGTATGGTGGAGACTACCTAATGATGCACCTCTGAGCATCTCTTCCAATTCTGCATTTACTGGTATCTCCTTGGTGGCTTGAAACTGGCTGGTGGGAATATTTCCACCATGAAAATGAGCAAACTCCACAAATCAGAGCCTTTTATTCCTGGAGAGCCAGTTGTTAAACATTTACCAGCACACCACTGGAGGAGGGCGATCAGAGCACTGGCAGAGAGAGAGTAATGTCATTTTAGCAAACAAAAGGGAGAAAAAGATAGCCGCAAACATGAAGAGGTTTGTGGGCTTCATGGCAGGGAAGTGAGGAAGTTTTTCTGATGACTTCCATTTCTCTCTGTTACCCTGGGGTGAGGTCAGCTGCTCTGTGTGCAGGAGCCGGAGAAGAAAGCTGCTCAGAACCGAAGGTCCAAACCAGTGGAAGATCAGAGCTTCTAGACAGAGGACAGGGCCATCAGGGGACCCGAGACCCTCAGGAGGTATGAAACAGGAGTCGGGGGAGAAAACTAGTACACAAACTGCGTGGAGAGGAAGAAAGGAGTGTGTTTGTAAGATTTCAGAGAAGCTCATTTGTAAGCATTTCAGAGCTTCCGACGTGCAGCGCTGACCTGAAGCCAGCAGGCATGGTGGAGAGCAGCAGAGACACTGTCCTCACCTCCCTGCGACCCCGCCAGGGAGGCAGGCAATGAGTGAAGAAAGCTAACAATGACCAAATTATGGTGAGCATTATGAAGGAAATAAATAAAAGGACACTGTGATACCAAGTAAGGATGGGAGATTCTAAGAATCTGTAAACAGAACTGACGATTGAAAAAGAGAAAGCCGTTAAAATGGTGTGTTTTGTTTGTTTGTTTAAAGGTGACTAAGAGTATATAATAAAAAGTAATTCTCCCATCCCTGGCACTAGTCTCCAAAACTTCTCTTCCCAGAAGCAGCCAGGGTTTACCTCATCCATTTCCAGAGGTAGTCTAGGAACAAGCCGTTTGAAGAGCCAGGGTAAAGATGGGCACGTGCAAAGGCCCCGAGGTAGAAAGGGCCTGCATGTCTTGATCTGCAGCAGTGCTCCCCAACTTTCATTTGCACACAAACCACCTGGCTATCATGTTGAAATCCTGACTCTGACGTAGGAGGTCTGGGGTGGTGGTTGACATTTCTAACCAGTTCCGGGTAACGCTGACTCCGCTGGTCTGGATCTCACTCTGAGTGGTAAATAAAGTCCTAGGGGACCATTAGAGGCCAGTCTGGCCAGAATGCCCTACAAGAGGGAAGAATGGGTTGAGGCAAGGCTGGAGAGGCAGGTGGGGCATCCTCAGTCAGGGCCTTGGGGTGCAGTAAGAAGATTGGGTGGTTTTGTAAGTGCAATAGGAACTCACTGGGGTTTTATGCAGACTGGGGATGGGAGTGGTATTACATGATCTACTTTTTTTTTTTTTTTTTCTTCTTCTTTTTTTTTTTTTTGAGACAGCAGTCTTACTCTGTTGCCCAAGCTAGAGTGCAGTGGTGTCATCATAGCTCACTGCAACCTCCAACTCCTGGGCTCAAGTGATCCTTCTGCTTCAGCCTCCTGAGTAGCCAGGACCACAGGTGCTCACCACCACACCCAGTTAATTTTTCTATTTTTTGTAGAGACAGGGTCTCGCTCTTGCTCAGACTGGTCTCAAACATCTGGCCTCAAGAGATCCTCCTGCCTCAGCCTTCCAGAGTGCTAGGATTATAGGTGAGAGCCACAGTGCCCAGTCTACTTTTTCTTTCTAAATCACTCTAGTTGCTGGTTGCATAGGCAAAATGACAGTGGGGAGACCCGTTGGGAGGCTACTGCACAAATCTTAGCCAGAGGTGATGGCGATGGTGGCTGGACCAGGGTGGTGACTGGGAGGTGGGCAGATCCCAGCACACTTGGAAGGTAGGACTGCAGAAACTTTTGGGTGGCTTGGATACGGAAGTGAGGGGAAGGCGGCATCATGCATGACCCTTGGGGTTATGTCTTGAGCAAGTGAGTGGCTTGTGTCGCCATTCATGGTGACAGAAGGAGCAATGGAGGGGGCTGTTGAGACTGAGAAGGCCGAGTGTCACCAAGGAGGCGTCTCGGAGACGGTGGGATGTGTGAGGCTGGGGCTCAGAGGTGGGTCTGGGCATGGGGTATCAATTGGGAGCTGTCAGCTCGGGCGTTTTTTAAGGCTACGAGAAGCAGGTATATAGAGAGGAGAGGAGAAGATCTAGGAAGAGGCCTGAGGGATGGGATACTTAGGGACTGGGTAGAAAGAACAAGGGGAGGAGGGAGAGGTAGGCATCCATTGTCAGCCATAGGGAAGTCTTGGCAGGACTAAGGACTCAAAGGATTTGCATTTTACCTTTTCTCTTCTGGTGTTCATGGAATCACTTTTAAAAAGAAGAGGAGCAGAGGAGGGTGAGTCAGGAACACGGGTCAGGTGAGATCACCCCAGCAGCTGTCAAATCGTCACTGCTCAACGAGGCCCGCTGGAAGGACACAGGGAAGAGCTGCTGGCACCAAGTCACACAACACCGAGGACGGACAGATCGGGAGGCAGAGGCCAGCTGCTTCCCCTTCCTGTCCTGCACGAGTTCTTCGTGTTAATCTATTATTCTAAAAATTTATTCATTGTCTACCAAGTGATCAATTTCTTATCATTTGTTTATTACTATTTTTACTTTCATTATCACATTAGATTTGCACACATGGGAGCCTCCGGGGGACATCTTTGTTTATTAGTTTATAACTTAAAATGAATATTTTATACAGAAACATTTTAAACAGAGGCAGAAAAACTCTTAACCCAGTTTTATCTTAGGCTAAAATTTCATTATCGCTAATTCTCGGGCCTCCAAGCACTGTGCAAACAATCCTGGAGGAATGGGAGTTATCAATTATTAATAACTGTTAAATTAGCATGGAGCTTGGTTCTCCCCTAAGTATGTTCCAGAACAGCAGGGCAGGAACAGAGCCTCTGCTCCCTCTTGGGTCTCCTGCTCAGACAAAGCCAAACCCTGCCCAGGCACATGGGCGTCCCCACATGGGCCAGCACTGACCCCACAGCCACTGCCCCCACCCTGCAGGGCACCTGGGAGGGGGCACCCCAGGCCTAGGACTTCCTCTTGAATGGAAGGATGAACCCATCTCCCAAGGAATTCCTGCAGGGACACGTGACCCCGATATTCTCCACAAGCTGGGGCAGGAGCCTGCCTTTGGAGTTTGCCCCCCTCACCATTCGTCATGGGCTGAATTACGTCCCCCTAAAATTTGCATGTTGAAGCCTTAATCCCCAATACCTCAGAATGTGATTATATTTGGAAATAGGGCCTTTAAAAGGTGATTAAATTAAGATGGGCCAGGCCCTAATCCCCTGTGACTGGTGTCCCTGTAAGAAGAAATTTGGACACAGACTCACACAGAGGGAAGACCATGGAAGACACAGGTGAAGATGACCATCTACAAGCCAAGAAGAAAGGCCTCAGGATAAACCAACCCTGCTGACTCTTTGATCTTGAGCTTCCAGCCTCCAGAACTGTCAGAGAATAAACGTCTGCTGTTTAAGCCACGCGATCTGCTGTGCTTTGTTACGGCCACTCGACCTGTGTAACGCACCATGCCCACCCATCCCTTCCACCACGCCTGGTGCCCTGGTGTGCCACTCTCCTCCTTTATCCCAGCATGTCTGCGAGGAAGAAAACGTCCCTGCTCTAGCATTTAGAGGCCACCAACATTGAATTAACCACCCCAGAGGAGAAGCAACAGGGAAAGGACTCTGGCCTTCCCCATTCAGAGCGGCCTTGGAGATTAGGAGACGGATGGATCTCATCGGAGCACGTACTGACCTTCTGCCCACGCTATGCATAAGCCACTCAGACTCCCCTGGCTTTTGAGTGCAGATAGGGTGGTGGATGAGGCCCAAGATTCTCAGAGTTCACCTGGCCTCCTCAGGGTCTTCAAGATCATCTTCTCTTCTTGGTTATCAAAACTGTGTGTGTGTGTGGCAGGGGGGAAGCCAGGGAAAGATTGGAAATTCAGCCACCTGCCACCTTGCAGTAGCTCACAGGTGTTAAGAGGCATTTTGACAAACCTCAAACTGCAAATAGCTTTAAGCTACAAAATGAAATTCTAAGTATGTATTCTCGAGTAGGAAGGTTTAGAAGAGCCCAGTGAAGCTGCCTTAGTGCCCCTCAAGCCATCCCCAAAGCCAACAACCTGATTAAAGCTAGGGACTGTCATCTTTAACTTATCCGGCATCTCAAAGACTGCACCATTCACAGCATGTCTTCCTGTTGGACATGGTGACCATGAGGACCCTTTGCTGGGTTCTTAGTGGACAGCATAGACATGGGCTCTGCAGTCAGATTTATTTCCATTTGTATCTCAGATCTGTGACTTAATATGTGTGACCCCAGGTGAGTTACTTGGACTTTCTGTGCCTCAGTTTCCTCATATATAAAATGGGATAATAATTGTGGGGCGCGGTGTCAACGCCATTACAAGTTGGCGCCTGTTTCCGGCTTTGCCTAGAGCAGCAAACAAGTTCAGCGCACGCACAATTGTCGGTTGCCCTGTGGCGCAAGCATGCAAACGAAGGGTCCTGCTATGGACTAATGCTTTGGTGGCTCGACAGCTGAGCGGCCTATCCCAGCTTAGGGGTTGTGCTTCTAGGGTATATAGCAGCCTGCGCGCTGCCGGGCTGGGTCTTCCGCATCATGTAAGTCTAAAGGGAACCCCATTAAAGCACTGTCAGAAGAACTCCAGTTGCCGCGTCTTCCTTGCTGGCGAGGCGGGCGCGACAAATAATGGTAACCCCCTCATAGACTCTGGTGAGGGTTAAATGAATGAGTACGTGACCTTTGCACATGGTAAGAGTACTTAGCAGCATTATCATTGTGATTAGCTATATGAGCCTTGGTTTCCCCATCTATAGCATGGAGCTATCAATGCCTACTTTATATGATTATCATAAGGATTAAATGAGATGCTGAATGTCAAGCAGGTGGCACATAGTAAGTCTTCAACTAATGTTTGTTCCTTTTCTCTTTCCACTACCTTAAGAAACACTGCTAATTCAGTAACACCTCATCTGGCAGGAGCATTCATTGATACCAATATCCTTAACATCTAAATACAGCCAAGTAGCCAGAATAAATATCACCAAAGCCATGGTCTAAGGAATCCGGCTTTGTTTGTAGTGAAATGTCACCAACAGCGTGCTGATTTCCTCTTCCCCGAGGCAAAGTTCTTTTGGTCACTTACTATGAATCAGACACAAAGTGAGCCACATTCTGAGCTTTATCTCATTTAATCCTGCCAACACTATGAAGTAGATATTATCATCCTTGTTTTATAGATGAGGAAACTGGAGCTTTAAGAGGTTAAAGAATTTGCCCAAGATCACACTCCAGTCATGAAACCAGGTCTTTCAGAGCCTAGCCCTGAACCTCTGTGGTTTCCAGAACCAGGGCCGACTGGAAGCAGCTGATGCCACAGAACCAGCCACAGGCAGGCACGAGGACAGGAGGCAGAGGAGACGGCAGAGTAGCAGGGAAATCCCAGGGGCTGAGAATCCCGCAGAGATGAGCAGGAACCAGGCAGCGTTGACTCAGCGCCTCCCCCCATTGTCCTGCCTTCCCCATGCTTGTTCAAATGCTGTCTTTTTCTATGTTCCGAACACTGCCAACCTGTTTTTTTAAAAAAGCATCTTTATTGACATATATTTCACATGCCATACAATTCACCTGTTTACAGTGTGCAATGCAGTGGCTTTTTCCTGAGACAGGGAAGCGGCAGGCCCTGAACCAAGGTCTCTGATAAAGCAAGAGACACAGAGAAACTGGCCAAAAGCACCCAGAACCCAGATGAGTGTGAAAAATGACCTCAGATTACCCTCGCTGCTCATTATACCCTGCTTATAAAGAAACTTCCACCAGTGCCATGACAGTTTACAAATGCCATGGCAACTCCCAGAAGTTACCCTATAAAGTTTAAAAGAGGAGGAACCCTCAATTCCCAGAACTCCCTACCCCTTTTCCAGACATCTTATGAATAATCCCCCCTCTGCTTAGCATAAATTTAAATAGAAGGTATAAAATAACATCCCAGAAACTCACAAGGTGCTACTCTCTGTTGCTCTGAGAAATAGCCACCGCTGTCTATGGGGCAGCCTCCTTTTTTTTTTTTTAATTTTCTTACTTTAATAAACTTGCTTTTACTTTGCTTGTTGTCCCACTCTTGAATTCTTTCCCATGTGGAGCCAAGAACCCACTTGGCCTTCAAACAGACCCCAGTTTGGGGGTCCAATTTCCTGTATCATTACCGTATTCACAAAGTTGGGTAGCCACCCCACAGTCATTAGAACATCGTCACCACCCCAGACCCCTTAGCCATCGTGCTCCAATCCACCCAGCCGTAGGCAGCTACTAATCTACTTTGTGTCTTTACAGATTTGCCTGTTCTGGACATTTCATATACATGGAATCATACAATTTATGGTCCTTTGTGACTGGCTCATAATGTTTTCAAGACCTGGCTTTAAAGTAAATAAAAAATGATTAAAGGCCAATGTGCAGTACTTGGCCCACAGTAAACAGGCTCAACAAATGCTTATTGAATTGAAATACAATTTCTGATCACAAATGAATGCCCTGAGTCATCAGGAAAAGGCTACATTATACTCATCACATTCTTTAAGAAAGCAGGTAAGTGAATGATACATTTTTAAAATTTTTCCATTGAGAATAGACAAAACCTAAGGTTAGTGCTTAAAGGCATCTTAGTTGCTGGAAACCTAGCTTTCTAGGGTGACCTGGTCTTAAGGACTCCAGATGGTGGGCGTTTTACTGTGTGTTCACTCCCTCTTTTATTTGTTTAATTTGTTCTTTATGCTATCAAACTTCATTCTATATGTCTGTACTACTGATTTCTTTTAAATTTCTCTCTTTATCTCAGCTTTATTGTTTATTGTTTATTTTTAGTTAACTAGTTTGTTAGTTAGTTAACTCTTTCTAGTTTATTGTTAGTATTTTTAACCCCATACTGGATTATCTCTTTTATTCACTTATTCATGCACGCTCTTCTATCATCACTGACAAAAATTTAAGATATATTGGCTCAAGCCCAGCCTCTGAAAACACTCTTTATACGTTCTCTCATGCCAACACTGTGACCATATTTTTCTGGTTTGTCAAGTGGTTTATGTGGGACAAATTTAAACCCCTTGTTGAAGTTAAGATATATCATATGACCCAGCAGCCCCCAACCTTTTTGGCACCAGGGACTAGTTCCATGGAAGACAATTTTTCCATGGATGGGTAGGGGGGATTGTTTTGGGATGATTCAAGGGCATTACATTTATTGTGCAGTCAAACCTCTCTGTTAATGATAATCTGTATTTGCAGCTGCTCCCCAGCACTGGCATCACCGCCTCAGCTCCACCTCAGATCATCAGGCATTAGAGTCTCATAAGGAGTGTGCAACCCAGTCCCCTCATATGTGCAATTTACAATAGGGTTTGTGCTCCTATGAGAATCTAATGCCGCAGCTGATCTGACAGGAGGCGGAGCTTATGCAGTGATGCAAGTGATGGGGGGCGGCTGTAGATACAGATGAAGCTTTGCTCACTCACCCACGCTCACCTCCTGCTGTACTGCCCAGTTCCTAACAGGCCACAGACCAGCATCAGTCCTCAGCCCTGGGGTTGCGGACCAGAGATATAAACAACCACCATTGATTTACCAAACTTAGAACCAGTGGTTAAAGTTGTACTAATTCAGCAGGATTCATTATGCACATAGCCATATTGAAGAGTCCTTTATGTTTATTCCTTGGGAGGGTTAAGTAGTGAGAGAGCCACAAGAACCAGGATCAGATATTTTCCTTTGTGAGGATTGGAGAATTATTGTCACCAATTCTTATTTTTAGTTACCTTGCTAATTCTCCCAAGGTTATTAAAACAATGGCAATGGTTTAGGTATTCTAAATCTCCAGGGCTTATGGTTTGTGCATGTCTGTCATTTGAAAATACATAAATAAACTATGTCTCTATTTCTGTTTTATCTTCTCCAAATTCCTGATTCTAATGTTGAATTTTCATATGATCCTGAGCCCACCTGGTAAATCTGGGGTAGGGAGCTGCCTTCTAGGTACACCCCACTCGATCCTGACTTCCTCCTGACTCTCCCAGGAACCCACAGAACTGCTTTCACTATTGCACATGAGAACACGTGCCTTTCTAGAAAGCTTGTCATTCTTCTCTAGCAGGCTGGACTACTGGCCATAGCAGGATGTCCAGCTGGTCTAGACCCAGCTTGAGGCTTTTCCCTGCCTCCTGCTCCTCTCCTGGCTCTTGGGCCCCACGCATGGCCTCATGCCGTCACCTTCCCTTGGTTTACTCTTTCTCCCCTGGTGCTCTGTTTCCAACTGATTATAATTAGCAGGCGACCAGAAGCTTCATCTGCCAAGGGCAGAAGTCATGTCTGGAACAGGCTCCCCTCCTAAGACTGTGAGCTAACCCAGCATCTTGCCATTTTGTATGGGGTTTCCTCACTCTTAGTACATAATTGTGTTTGACACCCCCCCAGGGCTGACGAGTGTTTCCTGGCCTTGACACAGTTTCCTTCTTGAGAAACTATCTGTCCCACTCCCAATTTTCTGTAGACCTACATCCTAATTACAAAACTTAGAATGCCCCACTCCCAATTTTCTGTAGCCCTGCTTCCTAATTACAAAAATTAGAAAATCATATCTAGAGTCCCACAGAAAGATATACAGAACCCCCTATATGTGCCTACAATTCTCCCATTCTCAATTTGTTCCTTTCAAAATGTAGTTGATCATTTGGTTCTGTGGCCAGATGACACAAAAATGATCATTCATGACAAAGTCACCAATTGTCACAATCTTTCAGAAAAGTAGTTTAGTAATACACGTCAGGGCCACTTAAAAATCCTTAGAACTGCTCATTCTACTCCTAAGAATTTATTCTAAAGATATCAACATATGTGCACCAAAATTTATGTGCAAGAATATGCAGAATTTCTGTATTGAGAAAATTTAGAGACAGCCTAACTGTCCAAAAACAGGACTAAATAAAACATGGTACATCAATATAGTGAAATATTATATAACCATTAAGTTATGTTTTTGAACAACATTTTTAAAATAAGGAAAATTCTAAAATGCTTGAAGAATCTTTTAAAAATAAGTGAAAAGTGGGATATAATACTTTAGGTAATCATATCCCAATTTTGTAAAGAGGAGAAATATTTGCATGCAGGCATGCTTAGGGAAAACATGAAAACATTAATAGTATTTATGTCTGGGTGACAGAATTAGTGGGGATTTTAAAAACATATTTTTCTGTATTTTTCAAATATTCTACAATGAATGTGTTACTTTCCTAATCAGAAAAACAATAATTGGTATCTGTTAAAAGAAATTAGGCCACGAAAAAGCAAAAACGAACAAAAACAT